CCCCAAAACCCCAAAACCCCTCTAACATAATACAGGCAAGTTTCAGGAAAAGGTTATAGCACTGTATCAAATTTTAGCGGAAATATTAAATATAAATATTTCAAGTAATTTAAATAAGAAAGTTTATAAGAACTTGAAAATTAAATGGAGTCACTTACAGATCTCGAAAGGAAGTACAAAGACCAAATTTTTGATTGGGTATTTTTGCTTTAGATATTTAAGCTAATAAACGAATTAGATATCTACTTTTGTGTACAATGATGAAGCAATCATGAAAGAGTTAGATGAAATGACATGCTTAACTGAATTAGGTGATGGCTATATACTAAGAATTTTGATTGGAGTCATTTACCCTCACTTAAAGTCCTTCCCGTAGGTTTATAAACATTTTTATAAATATTTATCATTGATGTTATACCATGGAGTCAAATTAAAATCTAATTTATAGTCATTTGGAATCCAGAAATGCTAATTTGATCTTGCCAGATATAATCAAGCAGATCTACCTTCGGTTTAAAAGGACATTTGACATCGACATAAATATCACTGATGCATAGATAAAAGAGGTATTGAAAACATAGAACTCTTAGGCTCTCAAGGAAAATATACTCCTTATTGTAATTACCACACCCCAAGTTAGAAAGCGCGAAAGAGAACCTTATTAAATTTCAAACAAATCATAAACACTTTGATTCTTTTTACCAAACTGAGATGTTCCAGAAAATTAAAAATCAAAAAATAATGAATGAGAGCTAATAAAGAAGTTCTCGAGTCATTGAAAACTAATCTTAGCAAAATATTAACCCCCAGCCTTAGAATATGATTGGTGGTGGAAGATTTTCGTATAACTCTAGTCAAAGTCAGGGACCAATGATGAGCAATTCAAGATAGGAATGTGAATCTGGGGATTATGATTAGTACTCAAATGGTGATGCTCCAGGTAGTGGTGCTAACAATAGTGGAGTATTAGTCTAAAGACACTCATATCAAAATAGTTAGTATTCAATAAACAAGAAATCTAATTATCATGACAATGTATGTTTAAATGATCTTTTAAAGCATAAATATTAGGATAAGTAAAGTATTGGTAGTGAAAATGAGGTGTTTAATATAGGTTAGTCTCCTCTGAATCAGAGAAGGACAACAAACAATATATATGCTTCAACTTCAAGACATGTTAAATATCAAAATAGAACTGGCTAACTTTAACAGGTATTTATTTGCTATAATTAACAACTTAGGATGAAATGAATAGCGCCTTTTACAATTCTTAGAGGTAGATTTAAAACCATAAGTACTCAGACAGCAAAGAAATATGAATTTAATAAATGCAGGATGAGATTAATGCTATGATTAATGAAATAGAAATGCTTCAAAGAGAAAACGATGATCTAAAGAATCAAAACTAAGTAGCCAATGAGGATCTTAATGCGTATGAGTGCGATTTAGATCAACTTTAATTAGAACTAGATGACCTAAGAGAATACAAAGAAAAATATGAAGAAAATGAGAATACATACAAGGACATGTTTCAAAAGAAGGAAAAAAGAGAGATTCTATTGATTGAAAAGTTGAAGGAAATGAGAAATCATAAAAACAAGCTTCAAGATAAATCAAGCTACGTTTTTCAAAAAGCTAAGAGTATTATTGCTGAATATTCTAGTTTCAAAGCCCATATAAAAGACATGCAGCTCATAATTTAGGAGCAAATGAGTTTGAAAAACTAGGAATTCTAATTTGCTATAAGTAATTTCTAAGAAAAATAAGTTAAAAACTTCCAAAAGTTAATTAAAGAGAAATAAAGAGATATGGAGTAGCAAAAGACACATTATGAGAATAAGATAGCTAGACTTTAGGAGTAACTTGATATTTATTAGAACTAGAATCAAAGTGATAACTCTATAAATCAAAATAAAGAGCTTGCAAAATTGTAAGAAATCATTTAAAGAACTTAAAAAGAAAATGATGAACTTTAGAAATAATTAGAACTCCAAAAAGTTCAGTCTTAAACAGATTTAGATGAAAAACTTCAGGAAATCAAGACATTTAATGAATAAGAAATTACTAAGAAACTTAAAGAGCAAAAAGACATATTAACTATTGCTTTGAATAACAAACTAGAAAAACAGAAATCAAATATCTGCAATGAAATGAATGAAAAGCATAAGCAATAATTAGAATGTGAGATAAGCAAATAAAAGGTTGAATATGAGAATACCATCAAGACCTTGACTGAAGAATTAGATGATTTAAAGAGTGATTTAGCTTTGAGAATTCCGATTAAAGACTAAGCGCGCTAAACCATGAGAAAGAGTTAGCCAGAATCGCAATAGACTGTAGGAAATGAGGTAGAAGACCAGGAGAGAATAGCTTTGATTGCCAAGATGTAAGGTGAGATAGATTCTTTAAAGAATGAAATCAGAGAGAAGGAAGCAATGCTTAATCAAGTTTAGAGTGAATTTGAAGAGTATTAAATACAATCAACTAAGCGATTACAACAAAGGAAGAAGGAAATCGATGCACTAAAAGAGGAAAACGATAAACTGAAGGATGAACTTGAAAAGTGTGTAAAGCACTTCTAGGAATAGTAGCTAAAGACCTATAAGTAGAGAGAATCAATGTATCAAGGGAGTAGTTATTAATGAAGCAAGAGTTAATTAAATTTGGTCGACATCGGTGGAAGTGGGGTAAGCAGTAATGGATCAGGACCCGTTACCACTATTAATAGAATGTCTCATCTAAACAATGGTTCTTCATTGCATCAGGTTCAAGGTCATACTAATGAACTGTCTCAATCTCAGACAAATACACCCATTGAACACTTTAAATTGAGATATAATGACGAGAACGTCAATAACAGGAATTCCTAGTTGCCTCTACCCTTTGGAAGGAACACCACCTAGATGCCAAGAACCCCTAATTAACTACAGTCTAATACTTTCTAAAGAAAACTTGATGAAAAAAGTAATAGTAACGATGGTATAGTCTCTTGCAAAAGTGTATATTAATCTTTGAGCTAGTAGCTATAAATTGACGAGAAGTACAACTTTTCAGCTTTTGAAAGGGAAGAGCGAGTAGCGCCAGTAAACTTAACAAATAGGAGCCATAGTGACGATGAAGAGCATGATGATGACGACGACTAGAACTTATCATTCTTTTTGTCGAATGAATCATCCAAACATAGAGATTCTAGAATCACTGGAGATGAAAGTTTCTAATGATCATCTTCTACAGATCAAAGGAATTAAGTAATCAACAGCAACTGCAATAGCAATGTAAAGCAAAAGTAGTAGCCGCAGTTTTACTCATAGTTGTGGAATTATGAAGACAGTTCAGACAAGACTTGAGAATATTGATGAAATAGGAATGATTTTATTACTAATATTTTCGCTTTTATATAATAAAGAATTAATATTGAAGTAAAAATAATTAAAGTTATGGAGAGTTTGAAAGTTCGAAAGTGTTCTGAGAACATTCTGGAGTAGATTGAGCAAGATATATCAAAGATTGACAAAGTCTTAGAGCAGAACAAGATAAATAAAGTCGAAGGCCTACAGGGATTTATAAAGACTCAGAGAACTGAAAGTGATCCACTCAATAGTTAGGTTTTCATTCAAGGGATTAACGACAATTACATTACTGATTAAGCTAGTTAAACTTTCACTCCTTAACCACAGGATTCAGATTATAATACTCCCACAAAGGGTGAGGAACAAAAAGAAGACGATAGTGATTTGATTTAGGTTGATGAAGAATTAATAAAATACTTATAAGAAATGATAGAAATGCTGAATACCGACGATGAAGAATTAAATGCTTAGAATAAGGAGATGCTAATAAAGTAAATTTCGTCAAAACTATAAAGCTAAAAGATAAAAGCAGACCGCAAATAAATCGAATAGTTTCTTGATACACTAAAAGATCAGTAGTACTCCAAGGCTTAGACAGCAGAAGAGAAGAGGAAACTATTGAAAAAGATGACTGAGACTTTTTATACTTTAGGTTACACAGCTTTCTATGCATAATCATAGACTTAATGTGCCTCAGCTGCTTTGTAATTGGGATTATAAGGTGGATCAATTGAAACACTCTCAAATGGTTTGCTAAGTAAAACGGCTTGGATTGCTGTAGCATTTGTGTATACTGCTTAGACTGGCTTAAACTATAGAAGATATAAGAAGGGAAATATAACAAAGAAAGAGTTCTGGAGTAGAGTCAAAATCAACTCAGTTACTACAGTTAGTTCTGTAGCTGTTGGATCAGGTGGAGCGGCTGCAGGATTTGCTATTGGCACAGCAATGTTTCCAGGAATTGGGTCTATTATAGGATCAGTAATGGGTGGTATAATAGGAGGTTTTGCTGGTGAAAAGCTTTCAGCTAAGGCATACAAATCAATTGAGCATAGAATTGATTAGGCGAAAGAGAGGAAACGTTTGAGAGAGCTAAATGAAATGTAGAATTTAGAAACATCTGGTACTAAATACACAGCAAAATCCAATAAAAATGATTGCAGAATAAGTTAAGAAAGATACGAACAAGCACTCAGCTAATTAGCAATTCCTAGTTTTAAAGCTAATATGTTTGAAATAGAATAAAGCTACATGAATATGCTTGAGGTTCTCACAAATAATAAACTTATGGATTAAAATAAGAGCCCTGAAATTCAAGAATAATTCCTCATGAAGTATCAGCTTATTATTGACTCATATGAGGATATTAGAGAATACAGGGAGTATCATAATATTATTAATTGAAACGAGAGGTGAGATGATTAGTAGTAAAATCAATGCCTAATATAGAATGTGAATTATAATAAAAAGAGAATTCGTTTAAAATTGAATATCCTCATTTTCGGGGTTTTGGGGTTTTGGGG